ATTATATAAATATAGTATACCGTAGTAATTATGTTACGTACTTTCATAACATTTGGACCGTGAACCCAAAATTCCCCAGGTTCATTGTATCCCAATTCTAAAATGTAAAATGATAAATTTTATTTGGATTTTAAATTAGGAATAAATGGCGCATTTGGGGTCTCTAAAATCCATATATACTATTAATTATCAATTCTAACCCTAAATCCTAACCAACCCTAAAAAAAAACACCCCAAAAAATTTTTAAAATTTCGGTTCTATTTCAAAATCCCGACAAGAGTCCCAACAGGGTCAAAATTCCGAAAAAACTGGCCAACATTAACTAGTTCTGGCTAACTTTGTCAGAACTTTGACTCTGTCGAGATTCTTGTCGGAATATTGACATAAAACCTAAAATTTCATATCAAAACAGGCCCAAATTTCAGCATCAGCATCAGCATCAGCCGTGACAATAAATAAATATGTATATAATTACCACGGTCGTCTTCTGATAATATTTTAGCTTTCATATTTGGAAAAAGAATACCACTAGAACCTATTGAAAATAGTTTCTTTAGTAAACCACCAAATATACTCTTTATTATACAGTAAGCACCCCATCAATTAATGATATAATACCTGGAACTGCATTCTTCGTTATATCAGGATGAGTTATAATAGACGCTTCGGTAAGGCCTTTATTATGTTACATAAATAATTCACCATAATGATAGGAAGAAAAAAAATTAATGTTCATGGTAAGACCTTTCAGAATGAGTACGCCAGTTCAAACGATCTAACAATAAAACTTACCATAAAGTTGAAAAATTGGTATTTTAAACATTTCATAAAATTTTCTTTCCGATATATTACTTAACAGAGTTCCACTGCTTATAATCATATCAACACTTGATAAATCAAATTGTTGGACCAATGGATCATTGACAAGTTCAAGTAAAGTTGTCGACATAACATAAATAAAGTTAATTTTAAATTTTTGAATTAATTCACCAAACGTTTTTATATTGAAGCTT